CGATGGCTTTTGAGTGATTAGGGCCTCGACCGCCCGAGACTCAACAGCCGTTGGGATCGGGATGGGTTCCGCGGCGACCATGGCCCCATGAACGGGTAAGCTGGCCGCACCGGCAGCCTGCTGGACATGCTGTCCGACCACCGCTGCTGGGCGCAACAGCTCGTCGACCAGCGCCGTGACACCACCCGGTCGCGCGTCACGTGCAGTGGCAGGACTCGTCGCGGTGTGCGGATGCTGGCCCGCCGCGGCCTGCTGGACATGCTGTCCGACCACGGATGCTGGGCGCAAGAGCTCGTCGACCAGCGCCGTGGCGCCAGCCGAACGCGCGTCCCGTGCAGTCGCCGGACTCGTCGCGGTGGGGGTATGCTGGCCCGTACCTGGCGGCCCGCCCTGCTGTCCGACCACCGCTGCTGGGCGCAAGAGCTCGTCGACCAGCGCCGTGACGCCAGCCGGACGCGCGTCTTGTGCGGTCGGCGTGCTCGTCGACGGGTGAAGATGCTGGCCCGCACCGGCCGGCCCGCCCTGCTGTCCGACCACCGCTGCGGGGCGCAGGAGGTCGTCGGGCAGCTGCGCTGTGACGCCGGTCGGTCGCGCAGTCGGCGTACTCGTCGAGGGTTGAACATGCTGGACCGCAACGGGCTCCCTGCGCGCCTGGCCGACCACCGCTGCGACGTGCATGTCGTCTGCCGTCTGGGCCGTGCCACCGCTCGGTCGAGCGCCTTGTGCAGTCGCCGGACCCATGAGCTCGTCGGCCAGACTCACCTGCTCGCAGCTCGGTGGCGCGTCGTGTGCGCTCGGCGGATCGGTCGGGGCCTGTGGCTGCTTGTCCCCCACGGGCTGCCCACCGGTCTTCCCGACCACCGACTGAGGATCCTCGAGCGCGACGTCGACCTGTCGAAAATGTTCGCTCGGTCGCGCGCCAAGTCCATCTTTCAGCAAGTCGTGGACGCCGGGGATACGAACATACGGAGGGGCAGGAGGATCCACGCCCACACCGCGTTTCACCGCAGGTCCTCTGCTTCGCTTAGAGCCGCTGGTCTGGTCGCCGGTCAGGGATTTTTCGTCGGCGACCCTTTTCCCCGACTGCCTTGGGGCCGGCCCACTCTCCTCGGCGGTTGCGCGACCGCCGTGCATCACCGACGCGAAAGCAGTTGGGAGGAGGCTAAACCCGGCGGTGCCAATGCCCTGTTGGGTCGCGGAGGTGACCGCCTTCACCAGGTCGTCCCTAAGCTCTTGGACGACCTTCGCAGTCACGGCAGCGGCGATCCGCTGCGCCTCGCCCTCCATGGCGGCCTTCACCTCGGCAGACACGACTGTTTTGATGTTCTGGCCGAGAGAATCTGCCACACCTCGAAGCAGCAGGAGGTCGTCCTCCCGTCGCCTACCCTGTGCAGCAGTAGCCGTCAAGTGCAGGGCCTGCACGGTGGGCAGCCACTGCGTGTTCATGAATTCGAGGGTGGAGCCGCGATAGCTCACCGCCTCCTGCACGACCGCCCTCACAGCGTCCACCGCCGTTTGGATGCTCCTCCCCGACGTCTGCTCGAGATGGGTCACGCCCTCGGCGACTGTAGTGAGCTTGTTCACGGCCGAGGTGACCACGCCGTAAATCGTGTCATTCCGGGCCGTTTGGAACTCCAGCCTCTTTTCCGCCACCAGCTTCTCCTCCCTCAGCTTCTTGATCTCCCTCTCCGCCGCCTTCAGACGCTCGATAGCCGCCTTTGACGCCATCCTAGGCGGGGTCGAGCCACTGCTGCCCCGGGCCTTCTTGCCCAACTTGGGTCCGCTGCCGCCGCCCATATCCGCAACCTTCTCACCGGCGAACTGCACTGCCTCCTCTTCGCCGGTGACAACCACGTCGTCCTCCTCACGCTCCACGTCCTCCTCCTCTTCTTCCGAGCCACCGTCGTGCTCCCCGCCCCCCTCAACGTCCTCCCTCTCGTGCTCCTCCTCCCCACCCATAGCGATGCCGGTTTCGACGCCACGGGCCACGGTCGACGCCGCCTCCCCTCTGTTCGACGCGGCCTTCTCCGCGTGGTGCAGCAGCTCCAGTCGGAGCGCCTTCAAGCCGACCATCTTCGGGTTCTCGATGATGAGCGGATCGTAGCTGCGAAACACGTCGTCGAGATGCTCCAAAGACCACGCGAACGCGTTGACCGCCAACAGCCCCGAGCCGGCGACCTCCTCCTTGAGGATGTCGGGCAATTTCTGCATCAACATCCGAAGCACATGGCGACGACGAAAAGGGTGAGTCGACGCCTCGACGACGATAGCCCAGGCGACAAGGCGACATGGACGTTGGAAACTCACATCACGGATGGGGGCGGCAAGACTCTCCAGACGTTCGGAGAGGATTTCGGCGGAAGGAGGCGTAGCCGTCCACTGCCTTCCCTCACGGTTCAACTCCGCCTTCGCGCACTCGGCGAAAAACCTGCGCTACGAGAAGGGAAAGAGCCATCAGACAAGGCGGCATGAACGCCGTTAAAGAGCGGCGCGACTAGCCGTCGACGTTGTCCCACCTCATAACGTTGGCCGCCTCCTCCTCGTGCCGCTTGGAGGAGGTCTTGGGGTCGAGGTGGCGGTAGAACGTCCCGATCTCCTCCTCGTCGGGCAAAAGCAGGTCGCCAGGGCGCACAACAAGCAGGACGCTGCAGTGCCTGCCGGGAAGAGGTCCGCCCCTGCCCACACAAGCACGACGGAGACATTCAGGGTTCTGTCCAGGAACAACAAGCAACTCGGTCGGCGTGGATCAAACCTCGCGGGCGCGGAACACTCACCCGGTGCACAGGGGGATGGCGAGGGCTTCGAAGCCGAAGGCCGACCCGAAAACCAGATAGTCCGCCTTCGACGCCGTCCTGGCGGCGCGAAGACTCGCACCGCGGATCAGGATCATGCTGTCGCCTTTTCCCAGACGATCGAGCTCGTACCTGGGACAAGCGGGGGCGAAAAGGCGGGAGCAAAACACTTGCGCGGTGAGCTACAATCCATGCCGGACGAAGGTAAAGCACGACGGCGATGTCGCCGGAAGCATGACGGACGTCACCGACGTAGGGCCAATGGTCGACTAGTTGATAAGACGACGCAGCTAAAACGTCCATCGCGGATGGACATCGTCGACCACACGGGAAATCGACAAGGCCAACGTCGACCTAGAAAGGACGCCGACGAAAACGCGCTGAACCCTAAACAACTGACAGCGCGACCTAGGGATGCGCGCTCACGCGAGGCCGAGGTCGAAGCAAGGTTCTGTGAACTCGGCCTTCTCGTCGCGAAGGACTTCGTAGTCCTTCATCTCAAGCGTCACCCCGTACCCACCGACGCCCACTGGCACGTGGAGGGGGAATTCAGTCGCAGGTAGTGCTATCCTACTGGTCGCCATGCTAACACCACGGTCGGTATCACGGAAGGTTTGGGGAGGAGCGCGGAGAGCTGACAGGGAGGCAGAGGAAATCGGAAAGCGAAGGTGGAAAGGAGAAATGAGGGATGGAGTGGGACCCCCCATCAAGAAATGGGTCGTGGGCCGTCGGTCGGTCGCCTAGTATGCAGCTCGGCGGACGAGGCAGGTCGTCGTGGCCGAGGGCGAGCCTCCGGCTTCGGCCCGAACCGGGCATGCCCTCGACGGCGGGGTTCGGAGGGGCGGAGGTGGGTGGTTTGTGTGGGCCGTGCGTGGGGGTGGTCGGGGTGGCGAGGGCGAGCCACGTGTCCCCTCCCGAGGGGCCAGCGATGTTGACGAGGGTGGGGTCGGGCCCTTTGAAAATCGCAACCAACCCACCTGCCCGGCGAGGGCAGCCCGAGAGGGTTACTAGGGCCTCGCGGGCAACGCGAAGAGAATGTCCGCCTTCGTGAAGGGGTAACTAGGCCCCTCGTCGCTCACGCGCGAGTTCGCCACCCCTCGGCTGCAACGTGGGGTTCTGTAGGAATTGGGGGTGGGGGGCCGGGGCGGGGGGCGTGGGCAGAGCCCCGCCCCGCGCCAGCCTGGCGGGGGACTCACGCGAGGGAGTTGGCCGCCCTGACGCTCGGTCGACCGTCACCCCCCCGCGTCGTCCCAGGCAGAACGGGTGCGTCACCCCGAATTCCGATGAGCGATTCAATGCAGGCATGTGTAAAACGAGTACGACGTTCAGCATACACAAAGGCCCAGTTCTGTTTCCCAGCGGCAAATGGAGGGCGGACAGCAAAGGAGGCACCACTGGTGCGGCTGGGTGCTTCCGCGAAGCCAAGAACCTCCCACGTTGGTGCGATTCAGCTTCCTGCCACCCTCCGCGCAACTAGAGGAGCTTCGTAAAAGTTTTGCTGAGCTGACCGTTAAAATGATTCGGCGAAGATAATTGGTGGGTTTGGAGCAATACAGCCAACCCGTACCAGAAATAATTCTCGTCACCAATGGGACATTGCCTCTCTCTGTAACGTGTTTTTTTCGGGGCATTTGTCCCTGCCTGGAACTACTTGTGCTGTCCCTGGGTCCACGATTCGAGCGGGAACCAGTCTCGCACCAGTCTCGCACCCAGTTTGCCTGGGATGAGCGGACAGCACAGCACTACTGGTTCGGCGTTCTTTTGCGCTAGGTAGGCTGCACAGCGCAGCACAGCACTGGCCAGGTTCGGGAGAGAGTTCAAGGTCCCGAGCCTGATTCGAGGAATGCGCCCTTGGTTTGGAATCTTCGAGGATCACTGGTAGAGGCCCTCACGAAGCATCATCTAGTGCTGTGCGGAGGGGTCCGCACCAGTAGTGCGGCACCAGTAGTGGGCCAAAATCGCAGCAACCCATGGGCAAAACGTACGTCCGCGAGAACTAACGAACGGTTACAGAGCTCTGTTGCTTTCGCAAAACAAAAGGCACCCCACGGGATAAGGGTGCGGAGAGGTGAGTAGCAGTTCCAATCGGTGAATCCTTCCAACTCGTCTAGACCGTACAGCACCGTACGCTAAAGTCGTCTACCAAACCGAAACATTTTTTAATCAGCATGGTGCTCCTTCGCCCACAAATCCCATCAACCCCGCCGAATGCCATTTATTCCGCTTCGTCCATCGTCTCGCGCCCCTTTTCTCGCCTGTCTGCCTTCTCGTCGCTCGCCCTTCAACTCCGCGCGTGTTCATCGTCTCCATTTAACGGTTCCGATTCAACGACAGGCGCATCTGTCGTTTCGCTCATCCCTTGGTTCCATCTGTCTCGTCTTCCGTCTCCCGCGCGCGATTTTGTGCGACGAGTCGTCATCGTCCGCGAATCTGCATCGGCCCTTCCTCTTCCACACCTTGTAAGTTCTATATACTACCAGCTCTTTTAATAGTAGTTGTATACTGATATACATTTCCTTCGTACTACCCTATCGTCGTCCGTCGTCTATTTGTTTTTCCCGCCAATTTCGCCACCTACTCCGCTTGCTGCAACAATCTGCGCGCAGATATTCTGATTAAAAAAAATAATGGTTCCGTCGATCCGATAGGCAGGCCAGTGGGGTTTCGGCTCGGTTTCCTGATTCGTACCTCTATCATCACTCTTTCAAGTCGCACTTTCTTACTCTCCCTCTCGCCTTCCTCCTCTCTTGCTCTCTAGCCGCCCCAACGTCCTCTTCTCCTCTTCACCTTGTCCAGCTCTGAAACCTGCTCCCTTGGTCTCCTCCCTTTGTCTCCTCTCTGCCATCTCCCTTGGTCTCCTCTCTTTGTCTCGTGCTCTGGAACCTGCTCCCTTGGTCTCCTCCCTTAGTCTCGTGCTCTCTCCCCACCCCACCATCCTCATCTGCTCTCTTCATCTCTTGCTCTCTAGCCGCCCCAACCTCCTCTTCTCCTCTTCACCTTGTCCAGATTTGAAACCTGCTCCCTTGCTCTCCTTTCTGTTGTGTTCCCACCGTCCCCATCTTTATGTGTCATCTCTTGCTCCCAAGCCTCCCCCCCCCCCCCCAACCACCACCCCCAAAATTCCTCTTGTCCGCTCCCCCCCCATTTTTTTATTCGTTTCCTCTCTTGGCCTTCACTCACCAAGGCATTTCCTGTCTTTCCCTCCCTCCTTACATCCCCTATCCAAGTCATTTCCCACCCCTGCGACGATTTTTTTAGGCGCCTCAAAAAAATATGAGGCGCTTCAAAAATCTTTTCCTCTCAGCCTTTCTTTGTCTTTCCGCCCCTCCTACCATTCCCTATCCAAGTCATCCTCCACCCCTGCGTTTTCTTCCTCTTCCGCTCTTTGATATTTCTCCCTAATTCCTCTCAAGTTTCTTACCCTAATTCCTCCCCTAAATCTCCTTCCTAATCCCGCTTCCTTATCTCTCTCCGCAATCTTCTCCTCTTGATCCTCCTTCTCCATTTACGTCCCCTTCACAAGAAATTCCCTGCCCGGTGCCCCTCCCTTCCCTTCGTCTCCCTTTTCCCTTTCCTTCCTCACCCTTTTCCCTTCCCTTCTTTTCCTTCCTCCCCGCTACGGCAAGGTCAGTTGAAACATCCTGAGCGTCAGTGGCAAGGCCAGCTGATACGCTACTTCTCTTGCGTCTTTGGGAAAGGCAGGCCGTTTGCGGTTTTCCGAGCATTCAGTGCAGGTGCATTAGAACCAGGATTCGTGGCCACTACCAGCAGCAGTACCAGCAAGCAGAACCAGGATTCTTGGCCACGCAAGCAGGTGGACAGTGCGGCAGGTCGACAGCGCGGCGGGTCGACAGCGCATAGACACAGACAGGTAGAAAGGACAAGCGGAAAGGCACTCAAGGGGAGCAGGACAACAGACACGCCGGGTACAATTGGAGAGTGGACCGTAGTAGCAGCGGAGCAGGCATGTCGAAGGGTCTAGATACGGTGCACCGGGTGGTGGTGGGGTCTCTGGGGCTTGCCACCCTCGTTCTTGGCACGTCTGCTTTGCTCAACGCCGGCAGCGCGCTTAGCTGGCACTGGAGTAAGGTGAGCTGGCACTGGAACAAGGTGAGCTGGCTGTGGAAGAATGTGAGGTGGCGAACTGAACAAGACGAGCCGACGTGTACGGCAAGTGCTTCCCTGCAAGTGCTTCTCTAAAAAGGCTTCTATAGAAGTGCTTCCTTGCATGTGCTGGTTTCTTATTAGGCGAGACCCTCCACTTATGCTTGTGTCCTTCATTGCGGATAAGATAAGGCCTATCAGCTATGGGTCGCATGCTTGGTTACGATACCCACATACTTACACTCACTTCTGTTTTCGCAGTGCAACCATATAATATGGATGCTTGTAAAACCTCTACACTGTGATGTGTTTTCTGTCTTGTTGTGCAGCTTCTCCGTGCCATTAACCCTTCTCCGTTCTCTTCTGGCTCCTTTATGTTCTTCGATTGGTTTCCAGTGTTCATGGTTTGCGGTTTCTTTGGTGTTTGTTGTCCTCTTTTTCCCTTTCCCATCGGTGGTGGCAGGACAAGCGTGCAATTGAAAGCGAGATCAATGCAACCCCGCCTGCTGACACATCGTCATCACCTGAATGAAGTATTGTTATTTGCGACAACGTTAGGCTTATGGCTGGAAGAATTGCCTAAGGCATGAGGAGACAGGTAGTGCATGAGAGTGTACACTTGGTGGCAAGGCTGGTGGAGTATCTGTGGTGTTTTCAGTGAAATGTGGAACCTTGTATTTGTTTTCAAGGCAATGCTGGTTTGTGCGTATGCGTATGCACGGTATGCTTATGTGCCCAACATTTGTCATCTGCCGTTCACCTGTCCCTTCTGATTCCCAAGCTTTTGGTTGTCACAGTGGCTCCAGCTGACCTCAGGATTGCATGCACATTGCAAACATTCACACACAGTATGTTGTTGGCCCTGCTGCACTTGTAAGCTCGTTGTCTACACATGGCCATTCTTTCGAACATGGAGCGAGTCCCTCTTTGACAGAGTGACTGCGAGTGACGACGATAAGGTGACGTCGACGAACGGCCGAGAGACCCGTCGATCTTCCGTCGCCGTCACCTCATGGCCGACAGCCTGTTCGCTGGCCCGCTGTCGAAAAAGAGAACAAACGTGCAAACCGCGACACGAGTGGCAGGTGTGTCACCACCACACCAGTTCCTACAACACAGTAACCAGCCCAGCCAGATCACAAATGCATGGCCCTTGCTGGTCTCCACGACAGTGCTCCCGCAACTTCGTGATTGCTCCGCCATGCAGGGGAGAGAGGTTCGGGCAGGTGCGTTGGTGGATTCAGTGCCCTGAAATTTGGAAGTACTTATAGTTACAGCACTATGTTACTTCGAAAGATAATTCACTCAATATTGAAAGCTGTTACTTTATACTTGCAAAATCCAGTCAGAAGAATGACTATGCCAGCTAAACATTGGAACCGCATTACCGTTTTATCAAGCAGAAATGAGAAAGTGTACAGCCGTGAGGACATGTGGTTTTATGTTTGCTTCCCACTCAAGAAAAATATGTTCTGCCCTTCCAGGGATGGAAATTGTGGCACGATTGCCTGCCCAGCCAGAGAAACTTGTGAACAAATTTTTGCAACAGCGCTAATGGCTGGGAGAAAAAACTATCAAGTGAAGATGGATTTTGGCGGTTCCGTGGTCGGTAAGCACTGTAGCGTGGCGGAACACTGCAGCGACGCACCGTCATCACAAACACGGTGCTCCTTGATCCACCGACAAACCGCCTCTCGCGGACGGAACCTCAACGAGAGTCAATGCCCCGCTGGAGCGGAGCGGCCCCCGAATACACTCCTCCCCTCCCAAACCACCCCCACTGCTTCCAGGCTGACCATTGACCGTCCACCACACCACACAGCTGCAGGGGTGGACGGCCCCGAATTCCCGCAAGCAGGGCTAATTTTTCGTTTTTGAAGATCCGGATGCCTCCGGGGCCCACTCGTAAACGTACGTAAAAATCCAGATCCGTAGAAATTTTAACCTTTCCGAACCTGATTCCAACAAGCGGCACCCTGAGTCAGTGTATTTTCAAGAGCTAGCCTCCGGTCTATCGACTCGTCAGTGCTGTGAATTACAAGTGAAGAACACAGATATAGAAAAAGTCCTCGAAGAAAGCACTTCCATCTACTCAGGGCCACTTTATCCATCCTGAAAGATCTTACACTTCAACAGGGCTAAACATCCCTTATACTAAGACTTTTGCGAGAACCACGAGTAACTGTTAAGTTGCAGTTACCTGTTTGGCACTGCAGATGTTAATCCTTCAGGGGCGCGACCTATCAAATCTGGCACGAAGGTTTTCGGGAAACACACTTCAGCGTCCAAACTTTATAGAAAATACCCTTTTTGTGTCCGGATGATTTGGAAGTCGTTCCCCTCAAAATGCGGATCTCTGACAAAAACATCCGGAATGTTGAAGAAATTCCGGATGTGCACCCTGCTAGCGTGAGCCCTGCCCGCAAGTTTCCTGTCCCAAAAGCGAGCCTTATTCCCCCAATTTTGACAGAGAAAATATATTTTAGGTCCATACTTTCAGATTTGTTTTAAATCTAGCTGTAGGTTCACTCAAAAAGTACTACTTTCTAGAGTTTCGCTCACGCGAGGCCCAAAGTATATTCAAACTGGTCCTGCGGGGCGAAGTTTTCGACACGTTTCCGATTTCGCTTGGAAAAAGTTTCGACGGGGCGAAAAATAATAAAACCCCTCGGGAACTAGGGCACATTTGCAGGGTGGATCAACCCTAAACACCAGGCGGGTCCCCGTGTTTAGGGCTGTCCCTCCTGAACGTGTGTCCTGGTTCCCCTAGCGGTTTTATGTTTTTTGCCCCCGTCAGAAATTGCTAATACGAAATAGGACACGTGTCGAAAAGTTTGCCCTGGGCCTCGCATGAGCAAACTTTCAGAAAGCTGTACTTTTCTAGGAAACTTAAGACTAAATTTGAGATATTTTTGAAACTATGGTGCTGAGATATACTTTCCCATTTTGACAGACCCCCTGATTCCTCATTCCCGAACCACGCTGACCCGCACTGCCCGCGCAGCGACTTACTGTACTGCAGCGACTCCATTCCCCCCCAACCACCCCCCCTTCTTCCCCCCACCCCCCACCGCCTCCATGCCCCAATCCCAACCTCCAAGTGTGCGCCAGCCAAACCTCGGGCACCAACTTGGGGCAGGTGCGTTTGCAAAAACGCGCGCGTCCTGGTTCTCGTTACTGTACCATCTCTTGTGGCGGTCCCCCAATCGAGGCTCTTTGCTTGCCCCTGTTGACGTTCCCGTGGCTTGAGGCAAGGTGAAAGCTCAGAAGAAAATGGTGGAATGAAGGGAGCTCCATTTTTCAACTGCCAGTCAGAGCGAGCTCATTTTCCAACCAGCCAGTCAGCGGGGCTACACGTACTTCGTATTTTCACCTGACTCCGATCAGATTCTTTCAGTTTCTCGGCTTTGTCGGCCCTTCATATTTCCACCTCTGGGTACCCTCGCTCGCCCATCTGAATCCGGGCAGTTCTCTTCCTCCTTGACCTTGCCGAGACACCCACCCACCCATCCACTTCACTGCAGAGCAGATATGACCAAGCCTTCTTCTTCCCCGTTTCCCACACGCTTCAGTTAGCTCCCCCGCAGCTCCTGTTTCCGCGTTTTCTGCAGGAGGGAGGGAGGCACGGTCCCATAACCCTCAGCTGAAACGGCCGTCTCACCAGCACAATTTCACAGCCACCAATTCTCTCAGCAACTAGGTTCTTTCAGGCGATAGTTATTGGCTCACTTAGTACAGATAATTCCCTTGTAGGGTTCAGGAACCTGTCTCAGAACTACTGCCAACAAGTAGAGACAGGAATATGATGGCGTTTCTAGACTAATAATACCGCTCTCGGTCTTAGTATTCTCAACCTGCTCTCGTGTTCTGCCCGCACCCGCGAAAAAATTGCTATGCTCATTGGTAGCTGGCCTTTCCCTACAAAGTACCCTCCTACACGCAAGCCAGTGCCACACAGTTATTAAAAACTGCGAACGCAGCGCCCTTGTTCTAGGTAGTTTCTGCTCATTGCGGCTGCCATAAACGAGTACATAGTGTTTACACCAGCGGCACGATGCACAAGAATCAGCTCCAGGAGCTCGCGCAGCGCAGCGGGTACAACCTCCCGTCGTACGCGTGCATACGCGAGGGCCCGGACCACGCGCCCAAGTTTAAAGCCACCGCCACGTTTAACGGCGAGACCTTCGACAGCCCGGGCTACTTCTCGTCGCTCCGGCAGGCGGAGCACGCGGCGGCGGAGGTCGCGCTGCGCGTCATGTCGGAGCGCAGCCCGTCGCAATGCATCGCGAAGATCCTCGACGAATCCGGCGTGTGCAAGAATCTGCTCCAGGAAACCGCCCAACGAGCCGGCGTGCCGCTGCCGGGGTACAATACGGTTCGATCCGGTCCGGGGCATTTGCCGGTGTTCACGTGCACGGTGGAGGTGGCAGGGTTGCAGTTTACGGGGGAGCCTTCGCGGACGAAGAAGCAGGCTGAGAAGAACGCGGCGCTTGCGGCGTGGACTGCGCTGAAACGATGTGAGCTTATCACA